ATAACACTACCACTAATTAACCAACAGAATGATATTTTGTCCACGTACAACAATAATATTCTAAAATACATAACCTATATTTAAAATCTCTACAATTCCTTGCCTGCCTCTATTAATTCATCTCAAGTCTCTTTTTTTGGGAAAAAACTAAAACTACATGTAAATTGAGTGACTCAGAACCAGATTGCTAACCAATAAAATATCAAAACAACCATTTTTCGTATATTATTATTTTAAAATAATTTCTCCGCATGCCAAAGTTGTCTATTCCTTTAAATTATTTTTTTGGTCCCACCATCAATACTTAAAGAATAGGCAGTTTCATCTAGTAGATTTAGGTAGAATGCTTTTTTACTGACTTGTAATAATTTCAAAACAACCAGTCTGCGTATATTATTATTTTAAAATTATTTCTGTACATGCCAAAGTTACCTATTAAAATTAATCGTTTTCGGTGCCAATACCTATTCCTAAAGATTAGGCAGTTATGTTTAGTAGACCCAGGTAAAGTGCTTTGATCCTCATTTTCTCATTTTTAAGAAATTGTTGGTTAGGCAATTCTGGCACAGAACCCCTCAATTTTGCTTGATCTGATTAAATTAAACTAAATAAGTAGATCCAACGAGGAAACACCAGTCTATTTCAGAATAACAATTATTTTTCTTTTTCTTATAAGTAGAAGACCAGGGGCCCAAGGCCTGACGGTCTCGCATGCGTTGACGTATGAGAGTAGAACAATGGAATTCTTGAAAGCCTTTGCTTAATGACTGTGATCCCAGCAATATGGCAAAAGGCGAAAGTAGTCTACCTTGCCAAAGTAGGTAGGGTCACAGACCAAACGCCAAAGTCATATCGCCCCATAAGCCTATCCTCTTTCCTACTTAAAACACTAGAAAGATTAATAGATAGGTATATCAGGGACGATATACTATAAATAAATCCGCTCCATCCCAACCAATATGCATACCAGCCAGGAAAGTCAACTGACCTAGCGTTGGACGATCTAAACAGGCTGCTTTCAAAGTCAATAGATGACAAAGAAATCGCAATCGCCACTTTCTTAGATATTGAAGGAGCTTTCAACAATGCCTTAACCAGGTCAATAACCAAGGCTCTAGAAGGGAGAAACGTCCCAGTAACAATATGCCAATGCATCACTACCTGTCTGGAGAACAAGATTATTTTATCCACTCTAGGAAAGGCAACCATACAGGCAAAAGTTACACGGGGCTGCCCACAAGGAGGAATACTATCTCCAATGCTGTGGTCAGTTCTTGTGGACGACTTACTCAAAATATTGTCCAAAGAAGGCTACCAGTGCCTAGGATACGCAGACGACCTAGCAATTATCGTCAGGGGGCGATTTGCAGGTACAGTTTCGGAGCGATCTCAAACAGCTCTAGACATAGTAAACAACTGGTGCAAAAAGGAACAATTGTCCATCAACGCAAAAAACAACAGTTGTACCATTCACAAAAAAACGGGTACTTACAGGTCTAAGACCACTAGTACTAAACAGCACAGTTATCCCATTCGTCACAGAAGCCAAATACCTCAGAGTCATATTTGACCAAAGGCTGACGTGGAATCAATATCTCAAAAAACTCACACATAAAGCTACAATAGCTCTCGTAAGCTGTAGACGTATATGTGGGAAAAACTGGGGTCTAAACCCCAAAATGACCATATGGTTATACACAAGGGTAATAAGACCCATGATAACCTATGGCGCAGTGCCGTGGGTAACCAAAACTGCGCAGGCAAGTGCAATAGGCCAACTCACTAGCATTCAGCGGCTTGCCTGTCTAAGTGCTACTGGGGCCATGCGCACTACGCAGACCGCAGCAATGGAGGTATTATTAAATCTCACGCCATTGCACATCTTCATACAAGGAGAAATCAGGTCAGCTATTCACAGGCTAACGCAGGGACAAAACCCAATAAGCCAACTACATAGCGCTGACCACACAAGGCTATATCAGCAAGTAAAAAGGGATAATATTCTAGCTATGCCTACTGATAGAGCCATAACCACATACAAATTTGAAATAAATTTTCAAATTCAAATACCAGCCCGAGAATCCTGGAAACAGGCTGAACTCGTCTGGTACACAGACGGTTCAAACACCAAGGAAGGAGCCGGGCTGGAATCTATGGACCTAAGTCGAAATCAACGATTTCACTGAGTTTAGGAAAATATGCAATAGTGTTCCAGGCTGAGCTAATAGCCATACAACACTGTGCAAGAGAAATATTAAATAAGCAAGTATCAGGCAAAACTATTGCTATATACTCTGATAGTCAAGCAGCTCTAAAGGCAATTCTCTCACCAGAAATCAAATCACGATTGGTGAAAGACTGTCTAGAAGACCTGACAGAGCTAAGTAGTCAAAATAAGGTGACCTTAGCCTGGGTTCTAGGCCATGAGGGATATCAGGGCAACGAAAAGGCCGACGAACTAGCCCGAGAAGGCTCAGATAAGGCCATGACAGGCCCCGAACCCTTCTGTGGAGTTGCTAAGGCATTGTGCAATGCATCCATTAAACAATGGATGCAAAAAGAGTATCAGGAATGGTGGAACAACTATCCAAGACTGAGACAGGCCAAACAGTTCATCAAGGAACCATCGGCCAAGTCTACGAAAGACCTACTGGATCAAAAGCGTCAAATCGTTAGGATAACAGTAGGCCTTCTACTGGACACTGTCGCCTAAAAAGGCACATGAGTGTCATAAATCCAGCAGAAGAAGCAACTTTGTGCAGGTTCTGTGAAGAAGAAGAGGAAACATCATTCCACGTCCTGTGCCAATGTGAAGGCCTGACTGGAATGAGGTTTCTAACATTGGGCGAAGAAAAGCCAATTGCATGCAACTACATGCGGGAGCCACTGTCAAAGCTACGAAGTCTAATAAAAAAGACCAGGCTAGACGACATACTCTAAAACAAACTGAGTCCCACAATAGATCTGAAAAGGTCGCGGTGGACAAGGACAAATAACGTCCAACTCTCAATCTAATCTAATCTAATGACCGTGATCCCTCATGCGTCGCTTGACGTATGATTTGCAACGAACTATCTTGACCATTCGACAACTGTATCTCGCATGCGATAATTATGGATTTCCAAGCATGTTACTTGTCACTGTCACATAGAATTAATAAAAAATATTATTTTTCCTAGTTTATATTTTTAAAGAATTTTTTTTAATTACCAGTTATTATTATTAATTATTATTATATAATTATTTCACGTTTTTGTTGTCCATAATTGTTAATTGGTCATTAACTTTACTTAGTTATTGTATTTACAAGTATACATTTTTTAAAATAGATGATATAGAGGAATTTGACCATATACAAAGAATACAATAAATTTAAGAGGCACAATTAGATGCAGAACTACCACCTCTCAATTACAACGGGCGGCAAGATCCAATTTTATTACTAGATCGACAGTTTATAAGAATATTTTGCTAATTTTAAAGTTTTTCCGTTCATTCTTAATCTCCATTTTTAAATATCTACTCAAATTTATTTTAGTAATGATAGAAACTACTAATTTGACACTCACACAGGTAAATTTTTATGTTGCCATTTTTGAGCCAATAATACAATTTTTGTTATGATGTTCTGAAATTTGATTGGTAGAGAATGATTGAACTGCTGCAATAATTAAAGACTCTTCATTACACCATGCAACACGAAACTATCCTAACGAAGGGTAGTCAAGAATACAAATTTTCCGTCGCATACGATGGCGACCATGGCGCACAGTTTCAGAAATTGGACTCCAGGACACATGTGCATTTAGCTGCATTGTGCATTTAGCTGCATGTGTGAACTGAACCTCGCTTTTTCCTGCATTGGAATAGGCCCGTTCACTTTCATTTTTAAACTTGTATTAATCATGTATTTATAAATATTTAACACTTGTAATTTTTTTCCGTTAAGTTAAGAAATTCCATCGCATCCTTTTAGTGTGTCGTTGTGTCGGAAAATCCCTAATTATCTTTATCCTATCGGTTAGTGGCTAAATAGCGCGGGTGTGTCGGATGTACTATAATATCATACTTTTTCTGCATTTAGATATGTAATTTACATGGTTAAATCGCCATTTGTGAAAAATTATAATAGTTATTTGTGTACCAAGTCCGTAAAGTGAATCTTTTTGGGCTGAATCAGAAATTTGCGGCCGAGATGTAGCCGAGGTCGAGCAACTTCTGGTCAAGCCAAAAAAGATCATACTGCCGAGGTGCACACAACATTGTTTAGGCGACTATATTGTCAAGTAGAGCCAATATTTTTTTACATTGTTATTTAAAAAAAAAAAGAGACTTAAATGCAAGAATTATCTGAAATTTTTATTGATCTAATCAAAATCCATCGATAACTAATAAAAATTGGTACAGAATTAATAACGATAAGTATGATAAACCTGTGTTTATAAAAAAGCGGCTGTAAAAGCGACACTTTAGGATTGTTAATTAATTAAATATGCAAAAAGTAGAGTATTGCCTTTTTTAAACATTAGTGAAGATATAATTATTAATACCAGACCATACATTTTTTCGCCAAATATATTCTTTCGCAAACGTGGCAACGTTGACATATATAAACACGATCAACTAGTCTACGAATTCAAACAGACAGACAACGTTGCCACGTTTGCCAGATAAATTATTTGGTAAAGAAAATTACGATCTGGTAATACTTAGTTTGAATATTAATAATTATTTTATTATTAAATTTAAAAAAAAATCAATGCGTTCAGCTTTGAATTTATGAATATTAGTATAGAAATTCAAAAACGAAGTTAATATGTACTTACCTAAGTTACATATCTAAACACAAAAAATAATTTAATAGGAATTCCCTTTCTTCTAGGAAAAGTATTTTAAATTTGACAGACTGTAAGTAGGTCAGGAGTAGAGCATTGAAATCAACCTTCGTAGTCTTAAACCTAAAATACGACACTAATAATATTCTTCTTTTTTTGTTGCAGTGAAATAATGACGTAAAAACTCGCCTACTACACAACGCACAACGAATTTGCTAGCTCAAAATAGATAGAAATAAAAAATTTTATACCATTCATAATTATTTATTAATTTTGTACATTGTTTTTCCATTGTAAATAATAGTCTATATTTGTGTACCTATATTTAGTTTTGAAATCGCGAATCTCTTAATTTTTATATTTTAACAGTGTCTGCTATTTCCAATGCGCTTTGATAAAGTCAAAGTAAAAACTACAGATAATTAGCATTAGTGTGAGCAGGAACCTAATAATATCAACGTAGCCAGCCGGCCGCGTGGGAATATCTCTCGATAGCGCACTTTGACATTAGAAAAGCGTATTGGAAGTGTTCAATAGCCGACATTGTATTTACACGGAAATCTGTAGAAATGTGATCTGACGTTGTTTTTATTGCTAGCGCATTTTCTATATTTGATTAGCTATTATGTCGGCACTTTCATAGGTATATCACAGGTTAGAGATGATGGTTTGTGCCAATAAGCTCTGTATATTTTACTGGTAATGAAACTATTTTAAAAGAAGACAAAACATCGTCTGCCTCATCTTCGCGTTTATTTTTAGTCTTCTTCTTTTCGTATCTCTTATCATATTTATATTCATATTATAAACCACACTTACAGTAGTGCTACCAAAATCAAACTTCCTAGCAGATTTTGAGAACTTGCTTCACCGATTATACCTCGTCAGCGTATCTCCCCCTACTTTGTTGTTGCCACACTTATGATTTTCCTTTGTGCATACTGGCTTCGAAAGCCACGAGATTCTGTCTGCTGTAGCTGAGGTGGCTTGGCTGAGTGCTTTCTTAAACGAAAATTGAAGTTCGGTTATATTATGGGTATATAGAGATAGATAGTAACAGATTTGTAAATGTTACTATACATTTGTTACTTTCTATCTCTAAATTACAGAACACCTCTGGACCCACTTGCAACTTTAGAGCAGTTCTACCCAGTGGCGAAGCTTTCACTGATGCGGGTGGTGCGTCGCATCTCTTCAAAATATTGTCAGCTAATATTTTTTTTATTTGAAATAAAATCAATAAGATCTCTTACGATAAATTGAAACTCTCAGTGAATTTATTCAAGTAATTACATTCAATTTCAATTATTTATATTTTTGTGTATTTGTCGAGCTTTATAGAATTCGCTTCTACGCTACAAATAGAAATACTTCGACAGCGCTATGATGCGCTGTTTCTCATTACATCTTGAGCGCCTGGTAGGGCGAACCGAGGTCAGCGATCTTTCCGGCCGTGATTCCGCTCCAGTCCGCTGTTTTCGCTGGTGAGTGATGCGGTATCTTAAACGCATCTCGTTCGTGTTATTAATACGCAATGGGAGTATCGTAATCGCGTTCTTCCCCTTATTTGAAGAAAATTCAATAAATGTTTTCGCAAATCTGCAAACTATAAGGATTGATCTTAATTTTAAAATTTAAAATATAACAGATACCTACGTTCACATTTTTGTTTTTTTTTTTGCGTAACTGTCTATCTTTAATTTACTTCACTCTTTTTTATTATTTTGATTATTTTTTTTAACCTTCCACATTTTTTTGTATACTTTATTTGTAAGTCCAAAATTAAAGAATTAAATAAAAAAAACTTTATTGTTTTTCATAAAATGTGAATCGCAGTTACTCATTACATCCCCTTGTATTAACGCCACGATACGCCTCTGGTTCTACTCAATCTTCAATTTTTGTGCAAGCTCAAATTTTTAGAAACTATAACCACAGTGTGCCTTAAAAAGTTTGCATTATAGGTATGGAAAACTTTTGTTATTGACTTTGAAAAAAAAAATGGTTCTTGATAAAAGTTTGTGCTTCACTTATAACATGATATGAATTTAAATAATTAAAAAAAACTATGTAGGAGGACGTCATAAAATACGAATTTGGTTCCCTTATTGTAGAAAATAAGAAAAAAAGTTTATTTGACAAACTTGTTTAAAAGCAATACGTCCAAATATATAACAGTTTTTATTTTTTTCCTTTATAACTAACTAACCTATTCATAAGTAAGAATACTAGCAATATTAACAATACTAACAATAAGTAACAAAAATATATATATTTATATAAAATTTGGAAAAAATATTTTTTTGGAGATAGGCTGTGAATTCATAATGTAGCATAAATATTGTTTTTAAACTTCTCTCGTACATGGTTAAGATATCTTATAGATGAAGCACAAATTTTTATCAAGAATAATTTTTTTTCAGTCAATAACAATAGTTCTTTTATGTTATAAGGACGAAAAGTTGAGTTTTTCGGGCGACTACGAGAAGTTGCCAGGGGAGACGTAGTCGAACCTACTCGAAAATACACTTTTCGTCCGTTTTTCATACATTATTTTTTATTCGAATAGTCAATATTTGGTATAGTGTGGTAGTCGTCCCAAATATAACATGACCTTGATTAATACTGTGCTATTTTTGTTGTTGCTAAATTTCTCGAACATTTTACAATTTGCTTTTACATAATTTTGGCATTAATAATCAATTGATTAAAGCTCTCGGGCTATAAGCAGATTATTAATGCCAAAATTATATCTCATCAAAATGATATTAAAACATTCTCGAGATTTAGATTCAACAAACATAGCCTACTATTATTGAGGTCTTGTATATTACCCTTGATTATTATTTTACAAAATAATAATAAAGGACAATATACAAGACCTTGTAGTTTTGTTGCTAAATTTCTAGAACATTTTACAATTTGATTCTATATAATTTTGGCATTAATAATCAATTGATTAATGCCAAAAATTATGTCTCATCAAAATGATATTAAAACATTCTCGAGATATAGATTTAACAAAAATAACTGACTATTATTTAGGTCTTGTATATTACCCTTGATTAATATTTGTCAAAAATTATGTCTCCTCAAATAAATATTACCACATTCTCTAGAATATTAGACTATTTAGACTATTATCAAGGTCTTGCATATTACCCTTGATTATTATTTTACAAAATTTCACAAAATATTAAGGGTAATATACAAGACCTTGATAATAGCTATTTTTGTTGAATCTATATCTCGATAATGTTTTAATATCAATTTGGTGAGACATCATTTTTGGCATTAATAATCTGATTAAGAGTCTGATAACCTTAGCTCAAGGAGTTTAATCAATTTATTATTAATGCCAAAATTATGTAGAAGCAAATTGTAAAATGTTCGAGAAATTTAGCAACAACCAAGTCATAGTAGTGTGCAGGTGTACCGAACCTTGTGGGACTCCCGCCATCGCTATAGTGGAGTTGATTTTAATAAAGAACTGTATCACTGGATTATTTTTACAATGTGCCCAGGAAAGTCATTCATAAGCATTTTGTAGATTCACCACGCGTCCAGATGGTATAAAATGCTTTTTCGCTGTCGAGCGTGAGCAGCATCGTTTGTAGGCTTCGATTAAACGCATTTTTCGCGTGATGCGCTATTCTCAGGACCTGGTCCAAGGTGCTGTCCTTCTCTAAAGCCATACTGTTCCCTAGGGACAATCTGCATACGTTGTTCGATATCTTTAAGTCTTTTTAATATCATTGTGTCTGTAATTTTCGAAATTGTGTTTTACAGAGATATGGAGCGATAAATATCGATTTATTGGCCGGTTTCCCCGCCTTTAATATTGTAATAGTACTGGAATAGTGTTGTAGTCTGAAAATGGCATTTATTATGTGATAAAGCTGTACGATAGATTTTCTACTAAGGTTTTTAAGCAGTATGTTGCTAATGTCATCCGGTCTTGGAGCTCTCCTATTTTTGAGATACTTAATAACCTCACCAATCTTTTTAGGAGAGGTTAAAAAATACTGGTACACTGGTAGTGGATCCAGCTGTTCAAATAAATCGACAAGATTTTCAATGTGTTGTTGCTGAGGGCTATTCTCTTGCGGATTGACGAATTTTATCTGAAAGTATTCAGTCCATGTTTCATTGTGGGAAGTAGCGAACTGGGTTTTATGAACCTTTTCACTTCCTTTCATAAAGAGTTGTCATTCAGTTTCAACTCCGATAGGGTGGTTTATAATTTTTTATTTCGATGGTCTCTCTAATTATTATTTTGTTGATGGTTTTCGCAATGTCATGCAACCTTACCCTTTCTTCGTATCTTCGATTTTGCTGCCTTGTTTTTTCTAATGCAGTTTTTGTTTTTTATAATATCTGTGACCTTGGGTGGCAGCTTGTCTTAATGTCGGCTCTTTGTCTTCGACGAAATCTCCCATAATACTCGTCCACTAGCGATAAAATACAATATAAGGGTCCCACTCTGGGTGCTTTGCACTAAATCCCCCTGCTAGGAGAACCCTGTTTCCTTTTGATATTAACGTGTGCAGATCTCTACCTGAAAGTGTTATATTGGGCGGACTGTATATACCTAGGAATGTTAAATTACTTATCTCTATGATTGAACGTTAATGAGTGCTCTTGGAAATTCTTTGAAGGTTATGTTTTTTTAAGTATGGTAGCTACTCCCCGATCCTGCTCTGTCCGTGGGTTTGTTTCTATCCTGTCTAATAATTAAATAGTCGTGAATTCTATTTTTGTCTGTTGGTTTGAGAAAGGTTTCTGTCAATATTATGATGTAAAATGTATGCTTATGAATAAAATTGCTAACACTGGTTCTAAGTAACAGTGCTGCTCCTAAAGTGGCGCTGGGAAACAGTAACAAAGCCTGCACAGAACATGAGGCTAATAACCTGAGTAGTTGATGCCGATGACACAAAAAAAAAAGACCGAACTTGTTTAGCAGCCCCGTGCACATTGTAAAAACCAAATTTTTTGAGAATATAAGATTTTAAGTACAAACTTTGAGAGTGAAAGAATAACCCAGCATTTTATTTTGTGATATTTTTGATTCATTAAAATAACGTAGATATCGTTTACAGTTAAACTGACATGTATCAATTTGATATTCACAAGTGATAAATGACGTTTACAGTTAAACTGACAAATTTTGATATTGACAAGTAAACAGGTAGATTCAAATTATTGGCAACATACTTGTAGTTGAAATAAGACTGCATAAAACTTTTCCAGATTGTACCAAATTTCAAAGAAATATTATTTTTATCGCTAAAAGAAAGTTAAAAATTGACTTTAAAATTGCCGATTCATAACTTACTATGATACTCGTCACGGGGAAGTTACATTGTTGCATCTTTAAGGTAAATGGTTTTTGACGAGTACCATATTTTTTAGTTTCTACAGATTTCTAGTGTAATGATTTTGATTGTCACAAACACTTCAGTCTTTTGTTAATTGCTTGTTTTTTAATCGCAATATATATATAATTTTTTTAAGCTCAAATATCTGTTCACATCTCAGAATATTTTTTAATGGCAATTTACCATTTAGAACCACCAATTTTACATTTTTTAGTAGTTAGGAAATTGTAGTGTATCACTAGCTAACCAATTGGATGCAGGTGTTTTCAATATGACGTTTGTGTGTCCTTATACATTAGTTGGTCAGTGACCTCTGCTCATTTTGATTCGTCATTCCCTAACTACTCTCTTTGTCATTTCAATAATTCTGTTGTAAATTTTGAAAAACCAATGGGACATATATCTGAGTTGTTTGCTGGTTGAGTCACGTCTTTTTAATAATTTTTTTAGAAATGTTTATTTGTAAGCTGCTTCAGTTAAAGTTTGGGTAATCAAATTTTAGAATGATATAAAATTTAAAAAAAATCAAATGTGAATTTAAATTTTACAAAAATAAAATCAAAAATACCATTAAAATTATATATCACGTAGGAAAAAATTTGGCTTTCCGTGTGTCACCCTGTATATAAAAATTTGTATAAATACAAAAAATTACTAGAGACCAAATCTGGACTGTCTGATGGACAATAATTACCTCTTAATATCATTTTTTTATGCTATTTTTTACCGTATTTTAGTAAAAACAATTTTTATCGGCCACTTACAATTTTTTTGTTTCCATAAATGTGTTTTATAAAATACTATGCAATCATTGGTGCTGAATTTAACAAAAGATTGAAAACAGTTTAAAACTCACGGCTCAATATTTGATACAGGTTGTCTCATTTTAATCGATCAGCAAGAATATACATTTGTTGCTGAATCAAATATTTTTGTTTTCAAGTAGATGGGACATTCTGTATTTACCGTTTTAAATTAAAAGTAACGTTTATTTCTTCGATTAAAAATTTATTTTCGAAAAGTTTAGGATTTATTTAAAAAAAGATTTGTTTTTAAGTTTGTTTCCTTTATTGAAAGCCCTTTAAAAGAAACTTACAAAAAATTGTACTTCAGAATGCTTATAGTGTTTATTTATAATTAATATTTTTTATATGAAAAAAAAAAAAACTTGTAAATATTATGATATACCATATTTTAATAAATTATTTTCCAATTGTTAATTTGTTGTTTTATTTCGTAGCAAAATATCTTTAAATGCATATTTTCTGAAAAAAATTACCCAGCTGGCAACACCTTCGAGTAGGTAAAGTATGAGCGTTGTTTATGTGGTAAATAAATAAATAAATAAGCAAAACGTAAACTTACATTAAGAAGGCATATCCTTCATTATATTACAAATTTCTCCGCTTTATTATGAAGTGTCGTTGTCGCTAGTATACAATAAAAATGTATTTTTAGCACCAAAAATTACCGATAATATATGTAACGCCTAAGTTTTTTTCTCCAAACAATACATCTAACTCGTGTTTACCTTGACCTTATCAAATCACTGTAGGGTCCGATTATAATTAGAACACCGCTACGTCATAACCATTACTTCGAATTTCTCAAGTCCTACAAATCACAAAATATCAAGTTCAAAAGTGACCATCCGACTTTAAAGAGTATATTAAACTAAAATATTCAGTGCCAAGAATTCTGAGGAATATTTAAAATAATTATCAAGTGTAGTGGAAGAGTGAGGACAGAAGTCCGACGCACGAGCTTTTCCTCTTGAACAAAATTTGAAAAAATAACTTTTCCTGGGTGAATAGTCCTCGGATTAAGCTCATAACCACACTAAAGAAGAAGAAGAAGAAGAAGACATCTCTAACTATCAATAAATAAAAATAAGTAGGTAGACTTCCGATTCGGACATCGTCGTGGCAACATTGAAATGGCGATCTCCGAATCGGGAGCCCAGAAGTCCAATAATAAACCACTAAATATCTAGTTTAAAACTGACCATCCGACTTTAATTATAATTCTAAATTCAACCAAATATTCTGTGCCAAGAATACAGAAGAATATTTAAACCAAATATCAAGTGCTGTGGAAGAGTGAGGACAGAAGTCCGACGCACGAGGGTGCAGCTTTTCCACATAACAAAATTTGAGATAAAAAATAGTGCTGGGTAAATAATTCGGAAGAGTTGAGCCCATATAAAGTTAAAGAAGAAGAAGATGAAGAAGAAGAAGAAAAATAAGTAGGTAAGTTGTTAGGTATAAAACAATATTTCCTATATCCCTATAATATTAACACTCCACTAAACCCCCAGTAGGCGGCGATAACCAATTAATTACTTTGCCAATTGATGACGTAGCTGTGTTCTTCTAATTGTAATCGGACCCTTCCTTGAACCGTTGTATGAAGACATTTTTCGACACCTTTAAACTGTCATGCAGACGTTACCCTTCGCGAAAAGTTTCGTGCAATTGTTGATTGTATATTATAATGTTATACAGTTGAACATATTAAAAAACCATACTATAACGTTTTTGCCCGACATTTTTAGATACCTTGAGGACCTGTTATCTACCGAACCTTCTACTAGCGGTTGATCGATTTGTTACATGTTTCCATTTGTCTGGAAATTTGTTTACTCTAGCATTTTTGCCATGCAATAAAACGGACACGTTTGGGTCACACTCGATTTAGAAAATGCAACGTCGCATCACATGTGAGCATGCCGATTCGCCTCCTTATCTCTAGTCTTCATACATGTTCAGTTAGTTAATTTTTTGGTTTGTGATCAGTAGCGTCGACGAAAAATTGATTCCGGAAGCGGAATTTATTAAAAAAAAAACGCCTACGATGTTATTTGCGAACATTTTTCAGATTATGCAGTATACATGAAGCAGTAAAATTTTGCGGGACATTAACGAAAGTTTCAGACTGAGCAATAATAAAAACCAGTGTACAAAAAGAAAAAGCAGTATCGAATATGAACAAAGACAAATATGAACGTAAACAAATGCGCGAATGTTATACGGCCAGAATCAGGGTAGGTACTTAAACAGGGCATGTAAATTCGGCCGGAGTTTTAAGGATTAGTTCTTATCATATAAGTATTTTCGGCCGAAAAGATAGGTTAAAATAAAATATAATGTTCTATAAGTGCTACAAGTTTCTTTATTAAACCGAAAGAAATAAAAATTTATTCATCTATAGAGAATTTACATATCCATGAAACATGACATACATAAAACTTGTCAGACTTATCAACAAACAAATAGTATACAATATTTTACAAATAGTAAAAATATAAAACTTATTTTAAAAGAAGCTAAGGTAAAAAAGCTACAATTCCAAGTATTCTTCCACAGAGTAGAAAACATTTTCCATGAGAAACTTGTATAGGATATTTTTAAAACTGTTAATGTAGCATACGATTCCCTGATAACTTAAAGAAACCCGTCCCACAGATAACCGTGAGAGTGGCAATCGCAACTCATTTTGGCCCGTCGGGTGTTATGATTATATATAGTTTTTAACCCACATTTCTTCATGTTTTAAAATGTTAATTAATATGGTGTATATGTATAGACAATGTAAAGTTGAGAAATCAAAGACAAAAAAGAATAATATATGTACAACTTAAATTTAGGTAATTACATACCGTCACTTAAAAATTATAGTTAAATACATACATACCTGCCATGGTGGATTGCTTCGCATAAATTTTACATAAAATGGGAAAAACTTTAAAAACTTTTCCCAATTTACCTAATCTGTATGGCCTGGAATCAGCTCACAAAGTGACGTTGTAATATTAATCTCAATTTTGTTTGATTTTCAGGTACATTACAAAACCCTTACGAGTGAATTTTAACCCCAAAAGCTGAGTTTGTGCGGGGAAAGGGACGGCTATTATTATTATTATTATTTGCCGTGGCGCTCCGGGGCGACTTAAAGGTGATTGATGGTGCCATTTGACTTACAGGTGAGGAAAACCTCACGCACTATCATCGAGACGGTAATGCATGGCGATTTTATAATCTGCATGTCATATCAACAGAAATTGAATTTCTATTAATACGGCACACATCAAATCCTATACCGAACCATGCAATTTAATTAAAAATCTATATGGTCTGGTCTAGAATTCGAAGCCCGACAGTCTCTGACCATAAACTTGCCTATACATGAATATAAGCGCGTTAGATTGCTACACCACCGACCCGATAAATCATTGCCAAGTTGCAGACGGATACGAATTTTCCAAAAATATTACGTCGAGTCTTAAGACGTACACTACGTCAAATGAGTTTTCGTTATTTTAAGAGAATACGTGATAATGCACTATCGGAAAAAGAGGAAATCGTTGTTTGGCGTAAAAAATATTTAAAGAAAATTCGTAAATATCGCAATGAATGTAAATTATTATGTGGCCAAAAACCTGGGTTAATCAAGGGTACATAGTTACAAAGGTTTAGCAATATTTATAAATAAAAAAATCAGAGAATTGCTTTATGGTATACATAATTTATTTATGATAATACCTTAGATGTGGTGTGAAAACGTACCATGAATTACTGACCTCACTTCAATTGAAAAATTTGAAAATAATTTTTGTATTAAATTATAATGCATATTTTGTCTTAAATCTGTAAAATATTAAAATTACCCGGCCTCTATAGGAACCTGTCCTGTTACCCAGTAGGTTTGAGCCCCGAAAATCTTTACAAATTTTGGAGCGATGAAAGATGTCAGCATTCCATTACACATGGCTGAAATTTTCCCATTATTTTGAAATCATAGTATAGGATTAAATTAAACAATGCGGATTAAAAACAATGAATTAGACTTTATTTAAATAATAAAAATGTCATATATTTTTTTTTATTTACAATAAATATACTTTGATAAATTTTCAGTTGATTGTTCGTAAATTGAGTTATTTAAATCATTTCTATCTAAGTATATTAATCACATTATTCTTGAATATATACATAGAAATATATACAGTGTGTCTACTTAAGTTGGAACCATATGAAAAACTTTTTTATTATTGGTTTTGTGAAAAAATTTATTCTTGATAAAAAGTTCTGCATGGTCCAAAACTTAAAATACAACCATCAGGTATCTTTTTTTAAAGCCTTATACGAGATTTGTCAAAAATTATGAATTTTGCTAAAGATTAATGTACCTTTATTTTTGACAAACCTCGTATACGACTAATAAAATTTATTATCTGATGGTTGTATTTTAGGTTTTAGATCATGCTTGACTTTTTATAAAGAATTACTTTTTTCCTAATATTAATAATAAAAAGTTTTTCATATGCCGCCAACTTATATACGTAGACAGTTGGTGGCATACTTAAGTAGACACACTGTATATTATACAAGGTGAGTCAGAAACATATATACAAATAAATTCCGTTAGATTTATGGATGATGATTCCCGAAATAAATAAACTAAATTTCTTTTGATAATCATCATCCGATAAATTCAAAAACAAACAATTTCGTCTTATACTAATTTACGTTTCACTCTATTTTTAACAAAAAAAGTTTTATTTTGTTGTTTCTTGGTCGAATTCCTTAAGTTATACATTATAACTGTCATTAATCGAAGTTGGATTTTTGTCTCACCCTGTATAACATTTTCGCAAATTGAACCCGTGTGCTTTTCTTACCAGTGCGACTTTATTTAACGATGACATCTAGTAATATGGAATCTAATCAGCTAGTAAGTAGTTTAAAAGAAAAGTGTGGTTGAAAATCTACCTATTGAGTAAAATAATATATAGGGTGAGTCTTTTATTTGGCACTGTAGCTATATTTTTTATTTTGCATAATATATGCTGGAACTATAGCCAATTTCAATGAATGTGTTGTCGATTTTACTGCAATTTGAAATAGACTCAATCTATATACGTTTAATAGAGATATGCGCAACTAAATCTGGCAAAATTTATAGCAACCCAAATTTTTGATTATTCACCTATTCATAGCAAATCAGATCTTTCACAATGAAGTGTTTGACTATGATGCCAACTTTAAATCCAATCAACATATTAGGCAGATTCTTATTCTTAACCTCATAATTATGTTTGAAGTACCTACTCACTCAACGTTTGTAGATCTTAACATGCAATGTTTATAGAAAGTAGATCTTTTTTTGACCGTAGTATAATTTTTAAAAACAAAGATTCGATATTTTTATTTAGAGAGACCAAACATTTTTTTAAATTATGTTCCTCAATGTTTTTAAATTTTTACTGTGACTGCACTAGAAGATGAAAGGTTTTTACGAAACATATATTTAGCGCTATCCAAATCAAAATATAATTTGATCGATTAAACCAAAAAGTTTTGTTAAAAAAAAAAACAATTAACAATGTTGGTGAAACTTGCATAAGCATATAGCATCATAGTAAGACACTGGCCACTTTTACCTGTCGTACAGAAATATATTAAAAAATTGGGATTTTTGCACAAAAACGAGCGTTTCGTTAAATTTTTAAACTATTTTTGTAATTTTTTCAAATTTCTATAAAGTTTCATCGATCATATAAGAAGGAAACACTTGGTGTTAATAGTTTTCAGGTGAGTATTTAGTATGATCGTATGTGACGATTACTGCTGTGAAAATTACAGGTAGTGAAACGTTAAAGCTAAAGACCCTTTAATGACATGTCTGCTGGCAAAGAGTCCTGAATCACGGTTCGTAGACAATATGGTGGTCTCGTCAGGTTGATATGGACAGGGTTGTGACGTCACATAATGAAAAATCGAGATAACAGAAATTATTCAGCTGTGTTCCGTACATTAGTTTTTTAAAAAATCTAATATTTTATCGTTTTATTTTTATTTATAAACTATGTTCTAGTTTAGAGTTTTTATAATATCGGCCTCCGAGCTGAACTTGGACCACATTTTGTTTATACCCTGAAATAATTTGAAATTTTAGCATCCCTGGAGCAAGCTGTAGGATATCTTTTTTCCCTTTCCCAAAAAGCGACCATTTACAAAAAATATGGATGCAATGTTTTTTAAATACATTATATTGTTCATACATAAAATACCCTAGGAACTGACAAAATATAATTTTTATTTCCGATATAAATATACATTGTATGTTACATGGTTTTTTATTGTTGTTTTGTAGCTCGTCTTTCAAAAAATCAAACTACCGATATTATAAAAACCCAAACACTAGAACAAAGTTCGTAAATAAAAATATAAACACCACTAAATAACAATAAATAATTAGATTTTTTTTTTAAACCAATGTTCGAACCCAAGTAGAATATTTTCTGATAACTTACTTTTCATTCCGTGACGTCACTTCGTCCTTAGCAACCGGGATGAGGCTACCATTTCAGTCTTCGAACCGTGATACTGCATTGGGATTCTCATCTTTCAATACAACACGTGTTGAGACGACTATCTTCGTTCCACAGAATGCGATTCTTATGCAATGTCTCTCTCTATTTAGTTACTTGTTGAGTTCGCACATAACAAGCCCTCTCCTTTGAATGATGTTAAATGTCAAGACCACATACTTTGATTTTCTTTTACTATACGGAGAATGGTCGCACTGCGCAGCTTTCTGAGTGCCTTTTAAGAGGAGATAGAAAACTCCGTCATTTTGAACCCTTACTACGTGTTGCCTACATCTTGGCGCAATATTTTTAATAGGTGCGTTTTAATCATCCGCTTCTGCTTCGGAATTGTCGGTTTTCTGTTTTAATCTGACAGGTTAAAACGACTAAACCGACAATTCCGGAAGCAGAAGCGGATGATTAAAACGTACCTGATATTTTGCTTGCTGCTGTCAGTAGCAGTGAATATTATTTTTGAAGTCACAGTTTATTGCTAAAGAATCAGTTAGCTCACTCGGACCAGTTGAAAGTTCCAAAATAACATCCACTCCAGGGATACAAATTCAGGATACGCAGAAGACTGCTGTTTTATTATAGGCGGTTGTCATATATTGTATTATTCGAGTTGCACAGTGTATAAACTGAAACATTGAGATCAAAAGTGCCGACGCAGAGTGAGCGATCTGATTCTTTAGCTGTAAACTGTGTCACAGGGTTCAAAATGGCCGCGCCCTATGTTGGGCGTGTCGGACCTCTCTCTTGCCTCGTATAGTAATCAAAGTATGTGGACAAGACGTACAGTTGACAGATGAAGAAAGTACTCTAGAATGACACATATATCGTTTAATGTCTCTTTAATAATCCAGGGTGACTGTGAAAGTCAAATATCGCCCACTCTGTATAGAAATACTAACATTATCAAAGTTCTTGTTAGCAAACAGCTCACAACAAAATGTTTCGTTACTTTTCGTTTTTTCTTAGATAATTTAAACCTTTTCCTGGGTATATATTTGGTTCTTTTAGAAAGTATCTTGCAAAACGATGTAGTTCTAGCAGAGGTCCGACTTTATCTTATCTTTATTTGATATTCTTCGAGTTGTGTCCCTAGGATCCTTGTTCATTTATAATTTTGTCAACTAAATTTCGATTGCATCCCTTCAGACTTAGGCTTTTTTGGATTGTGGTGAAATGATTTTCCTTTTTATTGGGTATTGAAGATGGCTTTAGCGTTGGCCCTGTCAGCTGCTAAATATACACAGCCTAGTGCTGTGGGGCAACCCATCCCATCCTCCCAACATTAGAGATACATTCCTGGCAGCTGTTTTGATTATGTAGTTTTGTGAAGATGTGAATGTTAGACTGGAAATAAAAAATCTCGGATGACGGAACTATCTAATCTACTGTCGGTTGATATATGATAGTATTACAACAGTACTCTCAGGTGATTTAGGCAAGATCATAGGAGTGTCAGAGATAAATTTCCAGCTTGCTTCCTTTTTCCTAAAATTCTTACTTTATCTACATTTTAGTGGGATGATGTTTTCTAGAGTAATTCAGGTACTCTAAGAAAGAACCTTCCGTTATTTAAAGCTATGAAACCCTCTTAGTTAAAGACTATACCCTGACGGCAGTTATCTTACATTAGTTCCCAACTATTGAAAATTTATAGAAATTTGATTTTGAAAAGGAAAACTAAAAAAAATATATCTATTACCTACTTAAAAATTAAAAAAAATTAAGTAAAGACGGTTTTTTTACATTATTTGGAAATGCGATTTCTAAATCTAGCTAACTTTTTTTCCTAGAATTATTATTATAACTAAACAATAATGGTCGATTATAAATTATAATTCATTTAATTTGTACAAACTTATAAGTAGTAGTAGTAGTTTTCTAAATATCTATTTCTTAAATAAGAAAATGGAAGTACTTTATTTGGAAGTGAGCAAAAAATCACAAAAATGGTGTATAAAGTATATTTTTATTCATTATTCATTTTAACCATCTTTAGTTTATAGAATTTTTTATTTATAATTTTCGCAAAAATACATCCATAGAAAATAGTTGCCTTTTTCATGAATATACTTTAATTTTTAGATGCTCAGTTGTTATTATCAATTGATTAATCTTGGCCAGGATTAAGAAACATCTTACCCATTGAAAATATATTTTCAAAATTTAATTTAAATTAGTAGGTATATTGTTTAACGAGAAATTAATTGTACTCATTTGAGCATTCCTTGCGGGTTGAACACAATACTTTTCTACGCCTCTAATGCTATCTTCTAACTTAAAAGTTTTTGACTCACTTTGTTTTTATTTCAATATCTATTGACAAGTAAAACAAAGTGTACTGTATTGATGAATTGGTAATTAAAATATCTTTCAAATTAGGTATCATAAGCTACTACTCTTTTTTTCAAATATTGGTAGCTAAAGGGTAAAATTGTTACGTCGGACAGTTTTGTTTTATAACAAAAATTAAAGTTGTTTACGTTTTTTTAAATTATAAAAAATAATAACATCAAAAATGAATTTATTCATTACTTATATTCTTAACCTTTTTCAAGCTTTTTCATCCACCGATTATTATTATTATTATTAGTTTTATTTATTTTTTTAATTATTTACCTAAGCACTGTGCGACTGTTTATCGCCGACCTTATGTCTGAATCTGATAGCGACATGCTACAAAGTACATATACGGGAGTTGTTTAAAAAGTAAAAAAAATCATCTGAATACCTATAATATAGAATCTAAATGTGTTAGAATTCATAAATGTTCAATTTTTTTAAGAACTTGTTATATGACTCGATATGGAAATATTTTCGTATCGAACAACCCCCGTATATTTGAAAGTATATGTTATACAATCAAACAACTTCTACCGTAAACAATATAAAATCTAACTCTCCTTTTACACAAAACGATTTTTTTAGGGTTTTTTGACCACATTATATAAATCTTGACACTCATTATCATCCTGTTTGAAAAGTATCTTGTACCTCTGCTACCTATTCCCCACATCTCGAAAGTTTGCAAACTGACGTCCTTCAGTTCATGTTGCTATATGTAATTTGTTAATATTGGTGTGTTTAACGCGATGTCAATTAAAATATAGAAAATAAGTTTTGTATAAAACAAAAATGTTTAGACTATTTTTACCTTTCAATTAAATTATGTTGTGCCATTGATTTTATTTTTTATAAATTTCTCATTTTGTGATAAATTATGAGGTAAAAGTCGGTGCATTTACCGAAAATGTTTGGCAATTATAAGAAAATGTGAGTTTTAAAAAGTTTTAAAACTCATTTAAAATAGCTAGAAGTAGATAAGTCCAAAAAATATTCTTCAAAACATGAATGAACAAGAATATAATGAATCCCGCTATAGAATGAACCCACTGATCTGTATTATTTTACTGGATAGGATATAGGCTATATTTAACATACTAAAAATCCGTTCCACCAAGGAGACCGGAAGTGCAACACTGCTGGCCGATTTGGGCAAATTATGGTGGGATTACAGAACTGAATTTTGGGATAATTTGACATACCTAACCTATAATTTGATTAGTTTTTCTTCTTATTCTTCTTCTTATTCCTTCTGCGGGCAATGTCCTTCGGGACAATTCACCTATAATTTGATTTTTTTATGAAAGAAAATATAAAAATGGAAACGTGAAGCATATTGTGTCTTCACGGATGATCGTTTATTGTTTATATCATAATAATGCTATCCGATACTACCTAAATAAATAAAAAAAACGTGTCATCGTAATTTGTTGACACAATTAAATGACAAATGTGATGACAAATGGAAATAGAGGTTATGTTAAATAACATCCGGTCCGCCATATTTTTTGCCCAAATCGGCCAATTTTTCGGAACGTTTTTTAGGGGGCTATATCCTATCCAGTAAAATAATACAGATCAGTGAATGAAACCCACAAGAGTTAGTCCAATACGTTTGACATTCACCAACTTTATGTCTTCAAAATAAAACATTTGAGCAAGGGCTGTGCCCGAAAGTTTGGCCGTAAGGCCGTTCTAGCAGTGACCGTGCCTCAGGACCCTATGTTTCGAAACCAATTAATATTATTGCAAGTAAAAGTGTTGTTCATGGAATTGTGTATCAGAGATAAACGTAAATATCCTTAATTATTTTAAAACGTTCGTTTTAAATTTGTTGTTTGCTTTTGTTTTGAGACAAATAATTATTTTCCATATGAATGCCAATAATATTCATATTTTTATCCCATTTTTACTCACGATTCGTTTATCATAGTTTTCCAATGCTATAATCGTTAATAGATCCAAACTATATATTTCAATAGGAAGTTTCCTATCGCTTATGAGTTGGGTATTACGTGTAGTTATCATTTAAGTCTTATCGAAAAGTTGGGACATTATCAAATAAAGTAGTAGTAGTGGTACTAGTAGTATATTTGTTTATTCACTTATTATTATTCTCTCCTCCCTTTCCAAACCAGTTATGAAAATACTCCGGACCCCGGGCATTTGTGAAGTACCGGCGTTCTTACCCCTAAGGATTATCAGAGTCTTTGACTAGTTGCCAAAACCAGTCAACTATGCTATTAAGGGATTTTTCTCTTTTTTTTTCTTTCATTATTTTTTTAAATTTTTGCCTGGGATGAATGGAAGTTTCTTGAGGACTCCATGACCCTATGGCTGGTGACAGTGCTGCGTCTTGTGTAATCCCAAGGGCGGCCCCATCCAGAAATTTTGGAGGGGGCCATTTCCATTAGCCAATTCCTTTTTAGCATATTTTTTTAATGAAATGCTCATGGATTGCAATAATAATATGGGTGATAGAGGGAGAACAATTATTGTTCAGTAGCGTGTAATATATTTTTTATGATTTGATGAATTCATATTTTACTAAAAAAAATATTTAATTTTTTTTATGCCAGAACATAATTTCGTCTCCTCCGACAATTGCACTAGGCACTCTTACTTTTTCAACATGCTCTATACATTCATTGACATTGATAGATGACGTCAGTTGGCACACTTTCGGAACTGGTGTTAATTAAATGTGGTCGTACGATTAAAATTGTTGTGTGTAAAAGAAGATCAAACAAATCGAATTTCTGCTTTCAAAGTAGAAAAAGTCATCCGGCCTCATCGTGTAACCTTGCGTCGGTCGTCCGATAAACAGCGTCCGCCGAAACTTCAAGTTTCGATTGTTGTAATTTTTAATTTAGACCGAACTGATGGCTTGGTGCGAGGTGCAATGGCTGTCAGACGAACAAATCGAAAGCGGTATGGGACTGTACGTCATATTGTTGTAGTCGTTGCAGTTTAGATACAATCTGGAACTAGTTCGATCACATTCCGGACACGAACGTTTCTTTTTCTTATTCCGTTTGAATAATTCGTAGGCACATCTGGAACAGAAGCGGACCATCAAAAACCTGCGATGCCTGTCTTAGTACCGGCACAAGTAATATAGTTATGTGCCAGGTATGTACTGATATGGAGGCGGCTTTTGTGTACGCCCCTGATCATTGTCAACGTTGAAAATGTAGTGTGATTTGGGTCTTTACATTGATTTTGAAATTTATTTTATAAAATAGCATAGAAAGTGTTTATATGTTCATCAAAATTGATGGAAGAACCCCGACGGGCGAGTATTATTAATGATGCATCTATTAAAATAAAGAAATAGTGAAGAATTTTATTGTATCATTTTTCACCAAAGGGTTGGTAAAAGTATATTGGGGAGCAAATAACTAACAACGGTTGTGATTGAAGTTAAATATTGGCAGAATAAGGTCTGTTATATTCAAGTCATTGTATACAATTACCAACAATGTGTTTCACGAAAGGCGGAGATTTCCATAGAGTGTGGAAAAACGACATCTACGAAAACGGTTACAAGAATACATTTTAGTTTCATTGAATTTGAGCAGATGGGGCAGATTTCAATAAATAAAATGGACGATACAACTAAAATGTCATTCAGTTACTAATTTTCTTCTAAATTTCATTTTAAAGACTTCTTAGCAAATTTAACCCCTCCTAAGGAGATAATTTTGATTGAATTTGTCGCAAGACTCATTTCCATATCAGTACATACTTAAATATTATTCTTGACTTCTTGAGCAACTGGTATAATAGTGTGAAAGCCAGCGTATATTCAACTGGAAACTTGAGACCTAGCAAAAACTTCATAAATAATAAAAGGTTTGTACCATGTAAGTACGAAGGAGGTCGAAAAATATGATTTTTTCTGAAGGGCACACAAATCTATTATACACCTATTATACACCTATTTACAGTATTTATATATCTGACGGTCGCTGACCCTTATAGTCTATAAAAATGGAATCAGAAGATTGATTGTATGTACTCACCTTGCGTGAAGGATATGAGCACAAGGCAGAGCTTCGAGTGAGTCACTTTCGAGACCGTAAGGGGAACCACACCCACCGCACTGCAGATCCAGGTCCTCCTGGAGTCTAAGCGCTAGTCGCTCATGATGAAGTTTCTGGTCTTCGTCTCCTAGTGCATGGTATATTCGAGAAAGTCTGATTCGGACTTTCCTTACTAGAAGCTGAAAAAAAGACAGAAATATTATTTCGAACCACTTAAAAACCTAACTCTCTCGATTATGAAACGCACGATATTTATTTTTTATTTATTAAATTAAAAACCAATACTAGTAGGAACTATTCACTAATAGGGCAATTATTACCGTTACCGCATCTTGTGATAATTTTATATTACATTCTATTCTGACATTCTGCAAGCAAAGCAAATAGGTACCTATTTTATTTATGCTATGTTATGTACCACATAGTTAGGTTATTAGGAATGTTAGGTATTAATCTAGATCAGCGTTAGTCAAAGTGTGGTCCGCGGAGCCCTTGGGCTCCGCGAAGAAAATAAGCAGTACCTACCGCTACAACGCGACTTGGCTTGAGGACCTAATTTTTTTGTTTTTTTTTTAGAAGGAGTATATGAGTTTGGTATTTTGGGTTAGAGGACTGTTTTTTAGCAGCGAGGAAGAGGAAGGAGTATATGATTTTGGTATTTGCGATTGTTTTTTTAGAAGTCAAGAAGAGGATGGTCTATGAGAATTTTGTTGTAGGGGCTCCGCAAAAAAACGGGAGGGACCTGGCATGAGGCTAGAGTAAGGAGGACTTTTTTCCGAAATGTGTTTAGGGCTCCGTCAAATATTTCACTTTTCAAAAAGGTTGCGTCACCAAAAAAGTTTAAGAACCACTTATCTAGATAATACTAATACCTTTACGACTGGAGCGCTTTCAGGAAACACGCTCCGACCAAAAAGAGTGTGATCAATTTGGTCTTGATTTGTTCAAGAACAATCAAGTGTTCAATTTGGACATTTAGCTACTACTCTTGTTCATACAGTTGAGTCAAATTAGTCTAGAGTGCGTCCTTTTTTATCCAGTTTAGACTGGGTTAATTTGAGTAAATTTGACAGAACGTAGAGTTCTTTTGCAGAAGTCGTTGTTTCATATAATTTTTGTGTGCCATAAAGGTGTTTGTACATGGAATTCTATAAAGTTAAGTTTGTTTTAAAATAAATCTAAATTTTCTTGTCTTATTGACTTTATAGATCATTCATTATAAATAGGGCTGTGAATAGGTACATATTGAAATAACAAGAAAAGAAAACAGCTTAAAAAAACTAAATGAGTAAAAACTAAAACTACACGAGACACAAGTAACAACGGGAAGCGAAGAACATCGAATTAAAGATAACTGATTAACTATTATAATAGTTGCTGATTCAATAATTATCACGGTCAAAAACAACGGCCGTGTTGAGTGGTTCAGTTACCATTACGTCGCGCCGCTCTGATTCAGCTTTTCTTGATGTGTTACCAGATTGAAGCTCTGCTGGCCTAACTTAATATTTTTATATTTTGATATTTTGTGAGGCCCCCTAACTACGAGGTCCTAGGCTAGCGCCTAGTGGTAAAACTGGCCCTGAATCTACCTCACCATGATTTATTTCTACCCACGGTACCACTTCGTTTATCAGTGTCTTTATCCATTGAGCTGTCATGGTTTCCTGGATCCATTCTTCCTGCCACTTCTTCATTGTATTTTCTGTTGCTCTTCTTTTTGTTGTTCTATCGTTGGCTCCTCTGTCATAAGACCGTTCCTTTACTAATAAGTGTATGAGAATAGTACATGCTATTACTTGGATGGCCTTTGTCGATACTGTCCTGTATGCGCTCGCAATTCTCAGTGCCACTTTTCTTTGTGTACTCTCAATTATTCTCCTATGTCTACTGACAGGCTGGTACTCCATTCAGTACTATTGAGTTAATGACGTTACCAACAACTCTTTTTCTTCCTGCTTTAGTCCCTCCGATATTCGCCATTAACCGAGTCATAGCTGCTATTACTTTGTCTGCTAGCGTCTTGGCTGCCGCATTAGAAAGAGCGAGACACCAAATAAATTAAGTCGGGATGGAGTTTGCGAGCACGTGTTTTATGAAAAAACCCGCATTTGCGACTAAAACGCTTGCTATACATTGTTATAATGAAAAATAAATGCCGTATAATGCACATCTACGCTATGAACGTTAAACAATAACTAATGAACCTCCATTGAACCATTTTGATAGGATACTGGATATTAAACAGGTGAAGTGTCCCTTTCTGGATTATATTCGCGTAATACACGTTAAACGATGACCAATGACAATGATTATTTGAGAGGGGCCAAAAATGTTTGGTCTGTGCAGGTTTTGTTTCTTTTTCCCATTGAAATTTTAGAAATAGCACTGTTAATTATGTTATAATAGTGAATTAAAATAGATATCACCTAGACGAGTGATTCGTTACCTTACCTTAGCACCAACAGAACTGGCCACTTCCAGTAACCTAGTATTAAATTCTAAGGGTCTGCAGTTGCAGATTTTGTGCTGTAGTCTTAGAGCCTCTAAACACCTGGCGGCACCGTCCATGGACTCCATTTGGATGACCCTATCGCCCATGGCCGCCGCCGAACCCATGGCTGTTTCGTATTGGCGAAAGGCTTTCTGAAAATCAAAAATAGTGGGATTACTATAGGTCTATTCCAAAAACAATCAGAAATTAGTCACTGATATCAGGATTTTGCGCAGTAGATTATAGGGTACCGCTAAATTATATACTATAGCAGGGACAGAAGTGGAAAAGGCTTTTGGTAGGTAGTAGAGAGGTGGTAAACGTCAAACCCCGTCCGACGACTTGTAACGAGCATTTTATACTCGTTAGGATTTTATTTTTTGTATATATTTATTAGTAATGTTTGTTCACCATTTTCGTATCATAAAATAAAAATAAAAACTGGCAAAGTGAGAGTCGGACTCGCGCATGAACGGTTCCGTACCATCGTACAAGATTGTATACTATGTAGGTACTTTATAAATAATTTATTAAGATTGAGCAAGAAAACTAAAAAAAATACACGTTTCTGGTAGGGGAGCCCCATTTAATTTATTTTTATTATTTGTTGTTACAGCGAGAGATACAGCCCGTGAATAGACGGACGAACAGCCGAGGCTTAGTAATACACAGAGAGAAATTCATGCTCATTTTAAGCAAAAAATAAGCATTTTCGGGCTTGTTTGTGAGCCAAGCATGCCACAATCTTTATCTAAGTACGAATGCTAAAAAATCGTTGATTTGTTTTGAAATTAACAATGTTGGTGCTTATTTACAGCTATTGACTCAAACATTGAATACGGCGATGTTAATTTAAGAATGCCAAGATTCAAATAAAGAATATTTTACTTCAATTAAGAATTAAGAGTCATGCTGAATTTAAAATACGCATTATTGGTTACATACTTAGATACATTTCTCTCTGTGTAGGGTCACGTTGGTTACCGTTCGGATACGGAACTCTAATAATAGGGTCCCGTTGGTTACCTTTTAGGTACGGAACCCTAAACATACCAAACATTTTAAACTATTACCGGTGGAATCGGAAAACGTATCTATTTAGGGGCTACAAATAATTATTTAAACAAGTATAATAATATCCCAAATCATAATTCTACAAAATTTTAATAGTTACTCACGATTTATTGAACTATTTACGCGATATTGTTATTAGCATTTATGAAATAATTTTCTAAGCAATGTTTCGCGTTTAGTTCGGTTAGCTTCGCGGGAAAACTGTCAAATCCTGCATATGAAGTGGGAGAACTGAAAAGGGCCTTTTCAACTTCTGTCCCTGCTATAGGCAATGCGCAGTGATTGGTTTATGATCGTTCATTGGTGTATTATGAGATTCTATTGGCAATACCACCCTCTGTAGAACATAGAACATGTTTGTAGGTAAGACATGTTTCAGTTAGCTGATTCCAAAGTTGTCACATTTTTATAGGTTAAGTGTATTAAAGGACCCACTGCACATACTTTGAGATTTTCTTTTACTATACGGAGAATGGTCGCAATGCGCAGCTTTCTGAGTGCCTTTTAAAAGGAGATATAAAACTCCGCCATTTTGATCCCTTATTACGTGTTGCCTACATCTTGGCGCAATATTTTTAATAGGTGCGTTTTAATCATCCGCTTCTGCTTCGGAATTGTCGATTTTCTTGTTTTAATCTGACAGGTTAAAACGACTAAACCGACAATTCCGGAAGCAGAAGCGGATGATTAAAACGCACCTGATATTTTGCTTGCTGCTGTCAGTGTCAGTGAATATTATTTTTGGAGTCACAGTTTATTGCTAAAGAATCAGTTAGCTCACTCGGACCAGTTGAAAGTTCCAAAATAACATCCACTTCAGGGATACAAATTCAGGATACGCAGAAGAGTGCTGTTTTATTATAGGCGGTTGTCATATATTCTATTATCCGAGCAAGAGAGAGGTCCGACACGCCCAACATAGGGCGCGGCCATTTTGATTCCTATGCCACAGTTTATAGCTAAAGAATCAGAAAAACGAGTGTGTTTTATTTTGCAAATTGCCAGATTATGTATCGGTGCCCTGTAGGCGCATTTTAATTTTATAATTATTCTATTTTGTATAATATTAATAATTCTCGTTGATCAGTAGTTTAACAATAAACTTTATTGATTTCATCATCAGTGGCCTCGATAACCTATAAGTACGCATTTTCAGAAAAATGAAAGCATTTTAGAATATTTTGTCCGCCATATTATATCCGAAATTTTTAATCTTGAATTTATTTTCATTAATTTCACAAGTAATGACCTAAAAAACCTGTACATTCACATTTTTAAAACAATCTACGATTTTGGACATTTTTTTGTCCGCCATTTTGATTTTAAAAAGTTTGACATCAAATTCGTAATCAGCAACCCCCAAAACCTGTATATACAAGTTTGGAAGCAATTCTGCCCCGTCATTCCAGAGAGTTCGTAAAAACAAAAAAAAATAGTTTTTTCGGTATGGCACCCCTCTAGCGACACGCTATCGGTATGGCAGTGTAACCCCTGCTAAAGTGATACAACAGAGCGTCTTAAAACCAAAACGCCATACCGGTACCTATTATACATGTTCATTGCTAAAAATGACATGTTTGCCCCAATATGGCGGCCACTTGGCGACGCCCCAGAGGTATGGCGTTCTGAAACCTTTGTTCTACGGCTCATTGTTAACCAAGATCACGAAAAAACAGCGTGGGCCCATGATACATGTCCACAGTGAAAAAATTACGTGTTTCTGTAAGTATGGCGGACCTTAAGTGACACCATATTGGTATGGCATATTGAGTTCGCGGACTTTGGCAACCTCCTTGACGACATAAAACAAGAATTAAAGTGGCGCCTATGATCCAAGGTCATGGATATTAATTACACGTTTGAAAATTCACCCTCCCTAAAAGCTACACTTTAGGAGTGCCATACCGGGAATTCAAAGTGGGGAATAACGTTGTCTATCAGCCCCCAAAGTCTCGTTGTGGGGCCTATGATACATGCAAAAACCCTCTCGGCTCCCAGTCTATAAGTTTTTATCTTTATCCTTTTTTGTTAGGTTTTTATCACCAATGAACTATTGTGAATCACACGCTTACCTGTTAATGTAATGTACTCGACTGTTCATTGTTCAGTTGAATGTTTACATGAAAACAATGAACTTGAAAAAAATATGTTGCTTATTTATAGAGTGTCTTTCAAATGCAAAATAATGAATAGTGAACGGTTTCAACAGTTGAGTGAATGGTGAAAATTTTGATCACATTATTTACAGGACCGTATTAGATACATTTTAATGTAAGTTTTTTTGTTTTTTTTTTTTTTATATTTAGTCTGCATCATATGGGAGATTTGGTTATGTTGCAGTTGAAGGGTCTGGAAATGGGCCAGTGCGCACCATTCCTGTTCCGGCTAGTTCTGCCAATCGGAATCGTTACGGAGTTGCCAGGTTATATTTAATTATTTGGAACCAGGGAATAAGCAGATTGAAATAACTATTATACTTTTAATCATCTATTTACCAATTTTTACATCGATTAAAAAACCCATAAAAATAAAAAAATGTTCTGAAGATTTTCAAGTAATACGATCGTTTTTTAATGTGAATAATACCTTTCAATAGTGATAATTACAAAATTTAAATCTAAAATATATCAAAACTGTCTTATAAAACAAAACAGAATTGTTATTTCAAAATACATTATAAATCTTTATATTTATTTATCATACATTTTAATTTACAGAGGTTACAATTTGGTTGCAAAATAAACTATAAAATAAAACAAGCTGAAATGAAAGTGGCTTGTGCAAATTCAAATTCTAGACGTCAGTGCAGAGTGGTGTGAACGCGCGCATTTCTAGACCCGTCAACTACAACATAACCTGGGATTTTTATTAATATTTAGTTTAGAAAAATTTACAACTCAAACAGTTTTAGCTTTGAAAAATTGACAGATTGATTCAGATTTATTGAACCTCTTAACTGAAATGCTATTCTATACTTCGATAAAAATGAATAATAATAATAATATCCAATTAGAAACATTTTTATAAAAAACCACTTCAGTAAATGAGTGTATTACATAAATGGTCTTTTCGGATTTTAGAAATTCGAATGAACCAAAAAACGAGAGAAGAAATAAAGTTCGTTCAAATTTGGTAGTTGGGTGGAAAACCGAGAAATAAACAACTTTTTCATTCAACATTTTTCGAAATTTTGGGAAATGTTCACACTTGTATTTTTTGAAAACAAGTCAAACTTGGACCAGGAACCTTTCTTATGGAAAAATGGATTTCTGTCAAATTTTCTGAAATGTTAATATGTTGTAGAACTCGATGCTCTGACAAAAAGTGTCCATTGTCACAAACCGATTCTGACTTGTTTTCGAGGCATCGGAAATGCCTACTTTTTTGTAAGCATATTTCTCATAACACATCTGTTTTATTCACCTATGTTGTAGAAAACGTGAATTATAGAGTATTTGGCACTAATATTATATAAAAAGTTACTGTATAAATTGGTTAATTACAGGATGGTTCAAAAATGTGAAATATGTTTTTTGAAAAAATAATTTTTTTGACAGGAATAAAAATATGAACAATTATCATTGTACCATGAAAATATAGTTTAAGTAATTGCTTCTTGATAATGTATCATATTTTACACAGGGTGACTCATACGCAGAGGGCATATATTGTTTTTGAATTTTTAATATATTAAATAAATGTAACTCCTGTCACTCTATCATACATGGTGTTTTTTTTTTGTGTCACCGGCATCATCTTCTGCGGTTTTTAGCCTCGTATTCTGTGTAGGCTTTGTTACTGTTTCCCAGCGCCACTTTAGGAAAAGGACTGTTAATTAGTACACAACAGTGAATGGTCGAGTGGGGAATCCTACTACATGGTATTAAATCGATTTCAAAAGTTTTCATATTTCCGAACCACCCTGTAATCAAACAATTTCTACAGTAAATTTTTATAAAATATTATTGCCAATTAATCGATAATTCATGTTTTTTACAATAAATGCGAATAAAACAGATGTGTTATGAGAAATATGCTTACAAAAAAGTGGCATATCCGATGTACCTGGAAAACTACTCATAGAATCGGTTTGGGCCAATGGACTTTTTGTTAGAGCATATCCATATTAAGCTCCATGACTATTTTTAAAATTATCTTTTGCGTTTAACATGTTAAGAATATTATAAAAAACTACAATTACAGGAATTTTAAATGAACTAAATCGTGATTACATCTGGAACGAATAATTCACGCTTAGTTTCATTGTTCGAATTCCGTTTCTCGTCCGAACTCCGGCCCGTCAAAAACTGACGCAACGTTTGTAAAATGTTTTCGACAAACAAATGAAGCAGCAATTCTGGCGTACGCCGTTCGTTGCTGTTTTGATTTAAACGTTCAATATTCTGATGAATTATGCAATTCATCTGCATTGTGCGCTCGAACGCAATGATGTCAAATGAACGAAATGAATTCAATTAAAATTGCTTATTGTTTTTTTGTACTTTTGATGAAAATTTAGCACCACGGTTATCACTGTTAATTAAATTACTGTGTCCGTGTGTGTGCTATACTGAAATAATGGTAAATTAATTTCTAGAATCGGAATTGTATACAAGGTGACATTTGATTATGTTCATCACTCAATTCTTTCAGCTAAACTACATAGAGAGGAGATGCATTAAACTTTTTTATACATTCCTTGTAAAGTAGACATAAATTGATTAGTATACCAAATGGTGAAAACTATACAGTAAAACCTTTAGAGATATGAGTATACAAGGTTCAATCCTATATTCGTAATGTTTTATAATGTCTGTCTTTATGCGAATACTACATACCTACTACCCTAGTTAACTTCGCAAACTCAATTCAGAATACCCAATATCAAACTTATATTGCCTTGAATCAAGTAACTGACTGTTTAAACGCTAATAGACTGCAATTAAATCAAGATAAAACGCAGTTACTTTAATTTCACAACAGAATATACAATTGTTAGGTTCTTGGGAATATTTATTCTTCGTTAACAAAAACATAGAATATAGATTATTTAGCAAATAAATGAAATTAGATTGTTTTTCAAATAGGACACTTAATGGCAATTACAACAATTGCTACATCCCTAACCTTTTATTTTACAAATTTCTATAGGGAGCCTAATAAGCTACGGTATTTTAACGTAGGATAGTTCATCGCAGAGGCTGATCGCATTTTTAAGACTCAGAAAAAGGTTATTCGAGAGGCCCATCAAATTGAACAATGCAAACCATTATTTGAGACATTAACTATTCTTATCATTTATATTTATCTTAAATCTTAAACTTATTTATTCCTTTATTAAGGAAGATTTCTCGAGGGTAGAGTAAATAATTTTATTCGTCGTTGCCATCTTGTTTTTTTGCTTTCTCGTTACAATTTAATAAATTTCAGTATTTCTTCGAGCAGCTCTTCCCTTGTATCCGCGCCTGATGATGCCCATATCGCAAGAAGTTTGAACACGACGCCGTAGGCTTTTTCAGCTAGTTTTGGTGGATAATTTTTTTTAGGGCAAATTTTAGTAGATTGCTATAAATTAATTTAGAAGCCACAATATGTGTATTAACAGACTGTTTTGCCGTTGGAAGTACGTTTGGATATCGTTTCGTTCACATACATATTGTCAATATAAATATGTAAGTGTATAAGTAAATGAGGTATAAATTAGTGTTGTAATCAGAACAAGAAAATTAAGTTATAAAATAAATTATTGTCTTAGTGAATATAAATTAAATAACTGTTTATTTAAATAAACCTTAAAATACCTTCCCATGCAGGCATATCGGTAAATGAAAAAGCTGATCAACAAGCCTGTCTCGCAGTGTCAAGGGAATATTCTGAAAATGTGCGAAAATGTGTTTCTAGTGATTTAAAAGCCTTTTGTAAAGCTGAAATAGTGTACTCGTGGCAAACTTGTGGAATCTTTCGGGAATAAATTGAGCCAAATTAAAAACAATGGTCAACAATGGATTCCAACACACCTTAGTGTGGGAGGATCTGTGACATCGTGTACACTATTTCACTATTTTTAAAATTAATTCCCTCCCTCAAATTATTTTAGATAAACAAAAAAGTAAGTACCTTACTTACGTTTATGTCAGACTTTTTTCTATAGATGTCGCCCATAATTCGTATACTTCTGGCGTAGGTGGCTTGATCTCCAGAAACTAGTGCTAATCTCGTTGCTTCCTAAAAATATTAATAGTTATAAAAAATGTATTATTATTATTTATTTTTGCTTTATTCTTCAACATCATTACGTATTAATAAGTCTAGAATTCTTAAAATATACTCTTTAAAATAGTGGAAATTAAAAAAATAAATTATTTTTCGATTTACTTACAGAACAATAATCGTGAGCATCTCCCAATTCACCTTGTTTTCTAAGTGCAGAAGCCATTTGAAGAAGAGCGGCTCTAAAAAAAAAACAGTACAATATTAATAATACAAATCAAATGTATAAAACTTTCGTTCATGTTCTATTATCTAATCTTTGTCTCTTTTTATGTAATAATTTGTTCCGAATTTAAATTTTTACACGTAGGTAGATTTCACATCTGATAGCAGTTTTTCAAAATTTGCAATACAAATGTATCAGCCGACAAAGAAAAAAAGATTAACGTAGTAGCCATGTGTAAGTTAATTTTTGTAAGGACGAAGAAAAATATGTTTTACCAGTGTATGGCAACTTTTGAAAACTTTTTTCTAGTTAAGTAATGTGTTTTTTGTTCTTGTTTTTTTTTTCGTAGTTAGTTATGTATTTATTTTTTCTTTTGATGTTTTTTTTTTTTTTTCAGTGAGTGTTTAGGTCCAACTGATTTTTATTATCTATATCACTTTGGTATGTTTTTCTTATATTTTTGGTTTATCAACCTTATCCTGTTTTGTTTTTGGCCCATGGATATTGTACAATAAAATAAAAAAAATATATAAAAAAAGAAAGGAACAGGAAAGTCGTTTAAATCTCACATAGGAATGATTATAATATAATTATTACATTAAAAAGTGTTTTGGTTTAACTTATTCAAAATAGTAGTTGTCATTTGTCAATATTTTTAAAGTTATCGAAGGTTAAATTTTACATAAAATAAGGGTGAGTATAGTGCTGGTCTGCTATCTGTAAAGATGCGCAGTGATATTGTTTCTGTTAATTTCTTTTGATACTATGAGAATCCCCGTGAGCTCGTCTTGAACGACACCGGCACTATTGCTACTATGTTTAGGTTTAAGGAACTGGATTATATTCTACTCGAATATCCTAAACCTTGTTTTGTTTTAGAAGCGTATGAATCGTACCTGCCACTTTTGATACTTCTATTTGTTCCTGAATAATTTTATATGGCTTATGTAAGATATATCTCGGTGAGATGGAGTCCATGTTCGCTTAAAGCAGTGGAATCGTATCGAGCGCCTCCTGCCAAAAGCGACGTCTCGCCTTACCAGATCCTACATCAGGTTCCATTCCAACCGTGCGGGGCCGTGTCATTGTCATCAGAGCAACTTCATTGATCTAAATATCAAGGGGAGTGAGACTAAGAATACATCCATGGCTCTGGTTGGTTTGGTTTTCATGGCTCCTCATACGTCATTATTATCTCTTTCATACCAGTACTAGGTAAACTCCTTGAACTTCTACTTAAGGAAAGAATCTTGGACTTTTGTGAAGAGCGAAACATAATTCCTCAATCCAAACATAGTTTCAGGCCTCATCACTCCACTCAGGACGTAATCTTCACACTTCACACTACTGCGGTCACTGCCGTTCCACGCGATGTTCAAAAAGCCTGACTGACATAACTATTAGAGTCAAAGTAGGCAACGCCCTGTTAGACCCATTTACCCCACTTGCTGTGGCACCACAGGGCTCCGTCCTGGTCCCTCTTCTTTACCTCGCATACACTCACGACATTCCTCCTCCAAAGTACCCATCGTCGAAATGTCTTCTTTAAGCCGATGATACTCTCTGCTCTCTGTAGCCAAAATCTCTGATCAACTAAGCACTCCAAACCAAAATCTACAGGAATGTTCTGGACGTATCACTTCCTCACAACGGCTATTTGAATCTTGGACAAGCTGTATATAAAACACCTGTATCTGTAACTGTAACGTGTGGAGGGTGGGTTACCCCCACGGCACTTAGGCCTCATTATGCCCATTGTGCATCCTCCTAAGATGATAGGCACCTCCTAGCTCGTGAGCCAGCCTACAGATTTAATGTAGTTGACAACGTCGCCAAGAGGTGCTTCTTCTTATATCGGCCGGTGTTAGCCGATACTCGCCGAACACAAATCTTCTAATAAATGAGAGCGTTGAGCAATCGTAAAGGATATGCTCGATGGTCTCATCTTTTTGTTCGCACCCTCTGCAGAGTGCAGATTCTGACAGCCCCATGATATGGAGATGCTTCCGTACTTGTTAATGACCAGTCAGAATGCCTGTGACCAGACGCAGATTCTGTCTAGTCATAGTCAAGTATTTGTTTGCTGCAGTGTTGTCAGGATAACTTAAGAGCTCCCTGGCAACTCTGCAGTTTCTTGTTTCATCCCATCTTTCCTTGAATTTCACAAGGGAATGTTCTTTAATTAGGTCTGTCACTACCGATTTTGTCAGGGCAATAGAAGGGCCAGGTCCAAAAAGTATTTGGTTGGCTGCTTTCTTGGCTAGTGAATCGGCAAGACGGTTACCTTTCGATGTGGCGTGACCTCTGATCCATCTTAAAGTGACCACATTGTTGATGGATACTTCGGCCAAAGCTTCGTGACATTCTAGTACTAACCCTGAATAAATTCGTGGTCTGTTCAGGGCAAGGGTTTGCCAATCATAGACAGATGGATTGTATTCTTTCTCTGCCCAGTCCGCCACGTATGTGATGACCGAGTCAGGGAAGTGTGTTGACACCTTTGGGAAATTAAAATAATAATATGAATTCGAGTCATACAGTAATTTTCAAGGAAATCCAGATAATATTGTTTGTTTGGGGTTAGGTTGGCCTCGAACTAGTCTAATGACCACAGCTAATTTATATTTTGTATAGGTATGTTTATTTTGTTTTTTAATATAGCTATATTATTAATTTATTTTTAAATAGTGATTATTTCAGACCTAAGGTAATTAATTAAACAATCTTTTTGGTATCTGTACTAAGTAAGAAAACAAGATTGGTTGACAGACGAAACCTTAATTCCATTAGGTTTTTGATTAAAATTTATTACATGATTTTTATAACAAACACAAATGATTCAGATCACATAAAAAAAGGACCATAGGTGTGTTTAAAAGGAGCGTGATTGAGTTTTAATCTTATTCTTGTTATGCCTTAGATTCAACTGACGTGATACAGGTAAATGTGAGGAATTTTTGAACTTGTGGGTATGTCAAAATAGAGATTATTAGAAATTAAAGAATAGTTTTCCCATAGACGTTCTCATTCGGATCTTATTTGTCTTTTATGAAACTTAAAAATGTCTTGAAGAGCAATAGTCCTTTGCTGCTTTGTCAACCATTTCATTACCCGTTACTCCAGTATAACCTTTGGACCATATAAAATGAATTTAAATCAAACGTAAAGAAAACAAGAGGGACTTTAGTTCTATAAATATTGTGTTATTGTTCAATGTAAGGACTTTCAATACATTTCAAAACAGATTGTGAATCTAAAATTATAAATCAATTTTATTCCTTACAGTCTACAATCCATTTAAGTACTAATTCTATTGCAAATGGCTCTGCCGTGTATAATGAACAGTTATCCGGAAGTCGACTTTTTTTTGTTAATTTAAAATGTAAAAAGTACAGCCCGTTAAAAATGATATTACCGGCCTAATAATAATAAATAGTTTTTGACTAACGAACCAAATGAAAAAGCTACTATAAAGACTTACCTGTGATGTCTTGAATTTAAATCGCCTAATTGTAAGGACCTGGATAAATCGTATGCTTTGGAGGCGTATCTTGCACTTTTATCAGCGTCCTGGAGTCTGCTGAAAAGCTCAGATAGTCCTACGTAAACCTGCAAAAGAAATAGGAACGTTCTAAGTTCTTGGAATAGAGTGTGTTATTTATAGATCTGATTACAATCACATTGGTTTCCTGAATAGGCACGTACAGTGTTATATACCGTATTATATACAGGGTGGTGTATTGTAATTTTTTAATAGATTATAGAATTCCGCAAAACAAACAAATTTTTTCATGACCTCAAAAATATGACAATTTTAAATTTGATGTACGGATTGGAAATTAATATATTTCACGCCTTTTATTTTGCCAAAAAGTTGGGAACTCGCATTTTTATTTAATAATATTTCATTAGAAATAAATATTTGAATTTACATGTAACATATATTTTTGTTAAAGTTGTATATAAAATAAAAATTAAAAAAATATTATAGTTGAAGTATTAATATCAATAATGGGATCGTTGGCAACGAGGTCGTCAATGAGATGAGCTTAATCTTTTTTATTTTTCCACGTAATAGAAAGTTATCAAAGGGTGCTGTTCGACGCATGTGATGCAATAGGTGAGTTCGGGCTGCGCACTCCAGAGTGGAGTGGAGTAAGTAGGCGTAAACGGAGTGCGAATATGATTTTACTCCTTTAACTCTCGGAGTGCAATGTCAGTTGTCAATGTGACATACCAGTACTTAAAATTTAATCGTACTTATCAGTAACGACCGTATAAGTTTTTTCCATATTAATGATATTCACGGGAACCAAAAAAAAAATTTATTTACTAAAGAATCAGTCACAATTAACTTATTATCGATTTAAATCACCTTATGCGCATGCCCGATCCACACTCCACTCCACCATCACCGAACGGTCAAAGAGGAACTTTTATTTTAACTCCTTCCGTACCCGAACGCCTTAGGTACTTTAGGAGTGAATATAGTGAAAAGAGTGCGTAGACCGAACTCACCAAATGTAAAGGTAAATAAGTTATATAGTGCATGTAAATCACTACATTATATTAAAGCTTTTGTATTGTAACTGTAAATTAATGAATAATCATATTCTATTTATTCATAATAATATCAATCGATAATATTTTATTATTCATTAGAATACAATTTTTGATATGGGTTATATATAGTCTCTTAAATAAATTGTTTTCAAATTAATTTCACTCGTCCTTCGTTTCGTGCATTATACTAAAGATTCAAAATAATAGACAGTGGGAAACTTTCAGGAATATGTAGTGGAATGCTGACATCTCATCGCTCCAAAATTTGTAGAGATTTTTTGAGCCTAGAGGAAATGTTTCCAGTGGCGCGCAATTTTAATGTTTTACAGGTATACGACAAATATGCATTTTAATTTAATACAAAAATTATTTTCAAATTTCAGAGTTGGTTTTCCCGTAGCCATATACGATATGTCAATATCAAATAAACACCGAATAGTCCGTAAATAATGGCACATGTTAGTTTCGAAATAATAAAATCTGATTCAACTTTTTTTTAAAAAAATAGTGAAAATTAAAAAGTTCTAGATGTCAAATTTGAAATAATTATTTTGCTTGTTTGGGAATAAAATTTTCCACTGTCTATTATTTTGAAACCGTAGTATAGCCACTCATTCTATTATGTCGTCGGTGAAAAGTGTTAACCTTCTAACTCCAAATTTTATCGAAATAACGGTTTTGGCATCAACAGAAAGAGAAAGAAAACCTCTTGCTGTCAGAAAACCTTCTAAATATATCTAAATATACATTTCTGTTTAATATGATGTCAATAAATCGTTCTCCGCTTGGTTTTGAGTGTTGCGGAAAAACGACTAACTCCGTTAGTACATGTTGTGAATACTGTCGAAAGCGTAAGTCTACAAATAAATTGAAACAAGAAATGCTGTACTTTCAAATGTTCTTGTAAATTTGGATGTGATGAATAAGATTACAATAGAAGTTGGACATACTCAGATGGAGGCAGACAGTATGCATTTCACGATTGAGCGCTGTATGCGAAAGAAAATAGTACACGTTCCTGCCGAATACTACTGTAGATATTAATTTACCACATTTATAAATTTAGAATCTATTTAGTTTATTTTTTCTTTATTCAATTTTAATTTTCTGCAATTATAATATAAAACGTGGTTTTGTTTGTACCTTTCATCTAAATAAATATATCTTGTAACTCCTTAAACGTGTTTAATTATGGTTTATGCATCGTTGTGTAATACTTGTAACTCCATTTTCTGAATTTTTTTTATTATTGTGTTAAAATGATGAACACTCATTAACAAATGTTAATAAACATTGTCTCTGACATGCTATTTGTTAACGTATAGTCGATTTTGTACTGATTAAATCGCTGATATTTTTGTAAATAAGTTCATTTACCGTCCTGTAAAATGTTCTGAAATGGAGTTTGAAGGTTAATACTTTTCACCGACGACATATGATAAACATGCATTAAATTTAACCAATGAATGTTACAAAATAAGAAAATATAATAAAAGATGAAGTTCGACCAGCAATAATAAACGTAAATAAAGGAAGTGGCAAAGACATATCTGATGATGAACTGTCCGAAACACGGTAAACTGATTTGCGTTTGTCATTTGTTTTTAGTTTTTTTTTTATAATATAGATCAGTGGTCCGCAAACTCAGTCAACAGAGCCAAATAGCAACAGCAGAACTCCTGAAACTTCTTTTGAGAGCCAAACTATTTTAAACTTAAAGTATATAGGTCTACATTGTTGTTATTTTAATTAGAATACTGCTAAGCTGGCCTTTGCTCAATTTTATTGAAGTACGTTTGCTGAGCTCGACCCTTTCTTACTCTCTCATCCACACTGGTCTTGTAAACTTCTTTCGTCTATCTCTTATCGTTCATCCTCTTTATACATATTAGGAAAAATTATACGAGCCATAGGCTATATGCACTGTGAGTGAACATCCATCTCTATATTTGTGTACCACGACTATATACCACTTTTTCTGTGACCTGTAAGCGAGCGAGCTCATAGAAAGTTCCGATAGTAATGCATGAACTATTGTTTAAATGCAATATTTACGTAATTCTTCAATTCTAGAATTAGGAGATATATGCAAGTCAAAAATAATGACTTGATTTCAAATTAAATCTAAATAGTTTTGACCATTAAGTTTACCATCAATGAAAAAGGGTCCCTTAAAATGCCAGTGTCTCTGGATTGTTGATTGTGCAATGAAAAAGTTGACTTGTCGGTAAATAAAATATATTTTAAAATGCTTCTATTTTGACTCTGCCGAGGAGCCAACCACACCTGAAATACTGGTAGGTTTTCACTCGAAACCACTACAAATTTTCTCAAAATCATGGTCGAAATCATCACCAAAATCAATTCGTCGCTCAAAAATGTAAATGCAGCGGCTTTTGGATCAAAAGATAAGGTCATCTTATAAAATTAAGGGAGATTGCTCAGCGAAATCACCCAAATCACATAAACATTTTTTAGGTGATTTCCGAAAAACGGGTCCGTTTTGACCTTAGTTTCCCCGTCAAGCTTTCCGATTCGTCATAATTTTGCAAAACTCTTAAATAAAAAACAAAGTTACAAAATTATGCTATACTTATGTAACAAGTAACGATTATGTATGTTAATATCGATGTTTATTGTATATATTCTTCGACTTGATTACGATGCTCTCCGACATTTTACGAATAATTGCCTGCAATTAATAGACACCGTATGGCTCGTATAATTTTTTCCAAACTTATATATCCATATCCAAACCATCTAAATATACCTTTCTTAATATTTGAAACTACATCTTCTTTCACTCCACAACGCTTTCTTAAAATTAACTTAATAACCTTTAAACTTTTAAGTCTTGGTTAAATGGTGCGTTGAATAAAACTTTATATCATAGTTAATAAAGATATTTTTATTCATAAAAATAAATTGTATCATATTTAAAGGTGTTATTTTGAAATAGAAAATGTCAATATTACAATCTCAAGAGGCTGGGAAAGTAATTCAAAATGGAACCTGGGAGGGAAGGCAAAGCGTTTCGAACAAAAGCAGATGAAAGTGATAAATGCAGGGGTTCACATTTTTACTACAATTCTAGTCTTTCCTGCGGAGATACGCGCTCAGAAGTAATATATTGTATACACGTTGATATTTTATCTTTCTGGATATGTGTTTTTAATAAGTATAAAAAAATAGAAATAAGAAAAGCAGCCATCATGAAGTTTCAATCATACTGTATGTGCGAGCCGGTACGTAGTAAGTTTTTTTTGGGAAAGGACAAAAAATCAGAATACAGATAAATATAATACAATATTTGCCAAAAGGCAGAGTTAGGTCTAGTCCTTGCAAGCAAGGGTAAGTCCTCTCTTCTACTCAACCAATTTTCTGTGCTAACAAAATTTCAGCTTAATTATCTGAATCCAATATACCAAAAGCGACGGTTCCATGCTATGTTTCCCTCTATGAATGGATAGGTCGGATGTGGGTTCTGGAGATGGTGGTTCTGAGAATCTGCCTCCTCTGCATCTTCTTCCTTCCGATTTTTTTGACCTTCGACTCCATGTCGCACAATGTAGGTACCTCATTTGTTAATCAAAGAGAGGGGAAAAAGTGAAGTTTTGTATTAGAGCCGTATCAATTAGCAATCGAACTAAAATGAATCCACTACCTATCAAAACTGGAAAATTTGGTTATTGCCTAAGCTCTGTAGCACATTAGCCATTCGTTTGAGCAAAAATATAGTAAATTGAATGTATTTTATTTTTGTGTCATAGACGTTGTTATAGAAAAAAAACTTGGGAGTTAAATTAAAAAAACCAAAAATAAATACTTTGATAACTGTTTTTTTTTATAACTTTATTCTCGATTAATTTAGTTGTGGCAAAGTTCAGATTCATGTGCAGCCCCCTCGACAACATCGTCAAGATTTCACCACAGCTGATAGTTTATCGAAAAATAAAGGTAGGTACGTTGTTCAATTTTGCTTTCTTTTTGATTTACAGGGTTCAGGTATTCAGAGACGTGCAAAATTAATAGTTTTAATTTAAAAA